CAGGTTCACGTGCAACTGTTGGAGATGATGAGGAAGATGTTATCATTGGTTCGTTCAAACCATCTATAGTGGTTCCTAAATCCTCTACGACGAATGCAACTACATCTAACACATTTTCTTCTTCACCAGTCCAAAAGTCTATATCTGTCACTGAAGATACCACCATTACTCACGAAGAAGCTAAGGTTCACTGAAAGGATTCAACACCATCAAGTGAATCTGCATCATCAAGCGATTCCATGTATGCTACACAAACTTACATGGAATTTCTCTTTCCAGATCCATTCGCAGATGAATTTGTGGCAAGTACTTCTCATGATCACAGACAGTCTGAGGGAGGTAATTCGACAGCAGGCAGTTTTGACAACATCACAAATCTTCCAGTCACTGTAAGTGATATCAGTAATCCAATTCCAACCAGTATTCAATGTGATCATCCTATCCAGAGCATTATTGGTCCACTAGAAAGCGGGGTTCAGACTAGAAGTCAAAGTGGAGATGTAAATGAGTGTCTTTATTCGTGCTTTATATCCCAAATTGAACCTAAAAGTGTGGACATGGCTCTAAATGAACCAAGTTGGGTAGATGAAATGCATGAAGAGTTAAATCAGTTCGAGAAATTGAAAGTATGGCAGTTGGTGGAGTTACCGAAGGGCATGAAATCTTTGGATACACGTTGGGTGTTTAGAAATAAGCAAGATGATAGCGGGGTGATTGTGATAAACAAAGCTCGTTTGGTCGTTCGTGGATTCAGGCAAATAGAGGGTCTTGACTACACTGAAGTATTTGCTCCCGTAGATCGTTCGGAAGCTATTCGTATATTTCTGGCTTATGCTTCCTTCATGGGATTTACAGTTTCAAATGGATGTTAAGACATCCTTCTTGTATGGTGTAGTAAAGGAGGAGATTTATGTTGATCAGCCTCTAGGGTTTATCAATCCAAAGTTTCCTAATCATGTTTTCAAGTTAGACAAGGCTTTATATGGTTTGCATCAGGCTCCTAGAGCTTGGTATGCTACTCTAACTGAACATCTGCTCAAGCACGGATACACAAGAGGAACGATTGATCAGACATTATTCATTTGGAAAGTGGATGCATACTTGATTGTCGTCCAGATATATGTAGACGACATCATCTTTGGTTCGACCAGGTCAAAGCTATGCAAAGAGTTCAAGGATGTTATGAAGAAAAGATTTGAAATGAGCTCGCTAGGAGAGATGACAATGTTCCTAGGGTTACAGGTTCGACAGGATTCGACCGAAATCTTATTTCATCAAGGAAAATATGTGGAAGACATGTTGGAAAAGTTTGGTTTTAAAGACTCAAAAATTGCCTTGACTCCAATGGCAGAAAGACCATTGTTGGCTCCAGATCCAGATGGGGAATCCGTAGATCAAACAGAATATCGATCGATGATCGGATCTTTAATGTATCTAACTGCCAGTAGACCTGATATGATGTTTGCCGTCTGTCAATGCGCTCGTTATCAGGCTAACCCTAAACTGTCTCATTTAATTGTTGTTAAAAGAATTTTTAGGTATCTTAAAGGTAGCCCTAAACTGGGTCTTTGGTATCCTAAAAATTCCGATTTCGATTTATATGCTTTTCCTGACAACAATTATGGAGGGTGTGATCTTGACAGGAAATCTACATCAGGTGGATGCTTGTTTTTGTGGGACCGATTGGTGTCATGTCAATGCAAGAAACAGCAAAGGGTGTCAACCTCAACGGCTGAGGCTGAATATATTGCTGCCTCAGCCTGCTGCTCTCAGGTTATCTGGATTCAACACCAATTGCAGGATTACGGTTTGAACTTTCTTGAAACTTCCATTCTTTGTGATAATGATGCGGCCATTCAAATTGCTAAAAATCCAGTTCAACATTCCAAAACCAATCACATTGACATTAAGATTACTTTTATTAGAGACTGTTATGAGCGTAAACTCATTCGTTTGGAACAAATTCACACTGATAACAACGTGGTGGATTTGTTTACCAAACCCTTCAGTAAAGCTCGTTTCGATGTGCTTGTGGGATTTTTAAAAATGATTTGTTTCGAAGATTAAATTATTTTTCATTTGTTTAACCCTTCAGTAAAGCTCGTTTCGATGTGCTTGTGGGCTTTTTAAAAATGATTCGTTTCGAAGATTAAATTATTTTTCATTTATTTTTCTCATGCACATCTTTAGGGGGAGTAATTATCTAAAAAAAATCGTTCGTAGTTATCTTTGGGAAGTGATATAAAAGTCTAGTGCTAAAGGTCAATTTATTATGCATGTAATGCATTGAAACTAAATCGCTTAGACTCTATGCTCAATGCGCTGGTAGGCACGAAGGGTTCAAAAGGACTCGACTAGATGTAGGTTGACAATGAAAGGACTTGACAATGTGAACTTAGATAGTTTCGTTTGGTCTGACAATACGACGCTCGCGTAGATTGATCAGTGAGATAAACATGGGAACTTGCAGGATACACTAAAAGTAATATGTATCTAGAACTGTGGATTAACATTTCCACGATGTATGGAATCATGTCCTTAATTCCAGTACTGATAGGGCGACTGGGGGGTTCTGATAAAGTAGGTCTGTAGGAAATTATGTTCTTGCTTTCTATCTGTCAGCCATATATGTTGCCTCCTCTATGTGATTGGAACATATCCGACCTGGACTGCAACATATGCAACTCTATTTTCTATGCATATCCTTATCTATGAAATTCTTTCTCTCTGTTAGTCATATGTTGTCCCCTCTGCGTGATCGGAAGATCCGACCTGGGATACAACATATGCACTCTACTATCTCTCTAACCCCTCATATATGTTAGTCATATGTTGTTCCCTCTGCGTGATTGGAAAACATCCGACCTGGGATACAACATATGCATTTCTATATCTATCTTCTCTCTAAATGATTGAATACTCACCTAAAGTAAGGAGTTCTTTGGAAGTTCTTGATTACCGGGGTATGTCGGGAAGCGGGGAACACGTTCTAGTGCATCTAAAATTGAACCATTTAATAGGTTGTCTGTAGATATTGCTGCTGAATTTAAGTGGACAACAATATATGTGGTCGTCATCAGCCAAATGGTCTATTTAGGAATAAGATCACAATGACTTGTCACTTATAATCTGTCCAATTTGTCAATATCCTTTGTGTTTAAGTGTACCACAATACCGATGATTGACCAGATCTAAACATGCAGGTGTGTGCAGATAAACGATATTGAATTTTTTGACAACTTTGATCCCAAATTAGTTTTGAATTTAGTTATCATTTTGTTTTTGTTAAATTTGTTCATAGATTTCCTCTACGCACAAATTTAGGGGGAGAACTAGAAAAATCAAACAAAAATCATAAAAAAATACATAAAAAGAATTAAAAATAAAAAAATTGTTCTTGACTTTACTCTTTTGTCAAAGTTTTTTTATTTAAATTTTTTTATCGTTTTGCAAAATATTGTTTTTATTTCTACTCTCATTAAAAGTCTGTTTATTTCTTTTCTAAGTTTATTTATTTTTATTTTGCTTTTTTTTTTTGGATCATTTTTTTGGCCTATGGACCGTGAACCCAATTTTTAATATAAAAGGTTTGATTTTTCTTTTTCACCTCATTTCACGAAAACCCTCTTTGTAATCAAACCTCTCTAGGCGAAAACCCTAGGCGAAAACCCTCAACAGTTCATCGAGAAAACATTCCTGTTATTTCGAAAATCTTCATATTTCACTCAAGCTATTTAAATTTTCTCTAGGTATGCTTTGATCGAACATCTTGTTTCAAGTCTTACTGTGTTTTTGAGTTACTTTCAGGCTGGTAATGGCGGTTTCCGATCCGCTAACGGTAGTTTCCGGCGGAGGTTGTACAGTACGAATCGTCGGGTTGTTTCGAGTTCTCAGACTGATTCGGACCCTTCCATAACCCACTTGTCTTTGTCCGTAAACAATAAGTCCATCCGTAAACGTGGTCAAACCATAATCCATCCGTAAACGTCCTTGATCAAACGTAAACGTTCTTGGTCAAAATGAAGTTTTTCCGTAAACTCTAGACATTTGACTTGAAAATTAATTTTTGACCAACCGTAAACAACCTTAGACTCAAAATAAAATTTTTATAAATTTGGATTTTAGAGAAAATAAATTTTAATTTTTAAGATTTTATATATTCTTATCTGATTTGTTTGGTGCAGATAAATGGAAAATCAATTAAAGTTTTTCGAAAATCACAATGTTGCTGGATTTCTTATGGATCCTCCTGCTGCTCATCAAGAGTTTAAATCCATGATTATGGGCTTGAATAACTGCAAAATTTCTCACGCGTTACGTTCAAATCCAGTCGTTTTTAAGGACCTAATCGCTGATTTCTGGAAGAATGCCTTTGTCAATGACCAGGGTGCAGATGGAACTGGCACTATTGAATCTGTGGTGAAGGGAGCTAACATAGTTATCTCTGAGCAAATTATTCGAGAAGTACTTGAATTTGGTGATACTCCTACATTTCCAACTGAGTACCCTGTTAGTAAAGTGAAGGAGGTACTTGAGAAAATGGGCTATGAAGGAACTTATCCTCCTACTCTCAAGAAACTGTTACCACCTTACTGGAGGTTTTTAGCACACTATTTTGTGAGCTGTATTTCTGGAAAGAATAGTGGACTTGATGAGTTGAGTCAGACTGCAACCTCAGCCATTGTTGCATTAAAAATGAATTGGGATTTTAATTTTTCAAAGTATGTTTTTGGAGAATTGAAAAAAATCTCCATGGGAAGAAGAAGGATCAATTCTTAATGTATCCCAGGTTTCTTCAAATGATCTTCAATGAAAAATATTCCAAAATTGAGAGGTCATCTGACACTTTAGATATGAAGGCTGTGGGTCCCAATACCTTTGGACTCATGAAGCAATCTAGAAAATCTACCAAACTCGCTTTTCAAGGATTAAATGAATTGGTTAAATTTGGAAAGTTTGCAGAGACTGAAGGTATTCAAGCTTCTAGTATTCCAATTGCAATGGTAGCTGAAGAACATGTAGCTCCAGCAAGACCAAATCTCATTTCTTCGTTTGAGGTTGTTGATGATTCTGATGATGATGATGCTAATGATGATGATGATATTTCTGATGATGATAATAATGATAGTGATGATGAAGGAATGGATTTTCGTATGTATGTACCACCGAAGGAGCCGATCAGTAAGGATGTGGATACTCCAGCTAAGACGGCAGAGGATGTTAATATTTTCAAGCAGTCAAACGATCCCACACCCGAACAGATGGATTCTCTTATTGCTCAACTACAGTCAACTGCAAGGAAGCCTTCCCAAACAGTTCCTTTTATTTCTGATTCTCCATCTGAGAGTGATAAAATGGATTCAAACGCCTCCTTAGCGCCAAGAAAGCAAAAACGTAAAGATCCAAGGCCGGGAGTGCTTTATGATGAGCCAGTACAACAGCCCTCTCCAATTACTGAGCCTACTCAAGTTGCTCATGATGCTCAAAGTCAAATTGTTGAGCCCGTTCAAGTTATTCAATATGTTCAAAGCCCAATCATTGAAACGGCCCCTGTCCAAGAAAATGTTCAGAGTCAAATGATTAATGAAGAAACATTTCCTTCGGTAAGTTCTTCTGCTCCACCTCCTCCAGAGCACGATGCTGCATCTGTGAAGTTATCCAAGTTACTTGCTTTTCAATATTCCTTCTCTCAGTCCAAAGGCAAAGGAATTTCTATTGGCTCCAAGCAAGGAGGTGATGAAGACTCCCATCCAACCGTCTCTGAGCTTAACCAAGAGATTATGCTTTTGAAGCAGGAGTCAATTGAGAAGGATCTTTTGATTGGTAGTCTGGATGTGAGAGTTTCTAGCCTTAAACAGGAGAACTCTGTCAAAGATGCAAAGATTTCTGAACTTCAAGCAAATCTTTGGTGGTATAACTGATGGGGTTTGAGCATTCTAACACTTCCTAAGTGTACATGCAACCCTAATAACCTTGAATCTATGTTTTCTCTATATACATGCAAATTTCTTTTTCAAGGTTATTTCCTAACTAGCATGGCATGGGGATTACATAAAACATAAAAACTAGTAGAAATACATACCTTGTTGTTGCTTGGATTCCTTCAAGACTTTGTGAGCCTAGCACCCCAAATGTTGTGCCTCAAATGCTTCACACAACACCACAAGACTTGGAATAACTTGAGAGAATACTTCTAGCACTCAAAATCGGTTATGCCCTCTCTAGTAACACTATGTCCACTAGGTCACCATTTTGCTAGCCATAGGGTTCCTTTTATAGTGTTGTCACAATTAGGGTTTACACATGAATGCCCTTACCTTGTCATGACTCTTGATTTCTCATGACCCATGGGTTTGTAACTCCCATAGACTATCCATGGAGCTCCATATGGTTATAACCAAACCCATAAACCATGGATCATTAATCCACCATAAAAGAATTGATGATTGTCATAATCAACCCTATATATTTAATTAGTCTCACTTTGATCACTAGATTAATACTAGATTAATACTTGATCAATACTAATTAAATAATACTATTATTAATATATTAGAACTTATAATATATTAATAATCATAAGTGCCTTATTCTCTCATTTAGTCTATCCAAGTATTGCAATGCCATGCAACCTAAATGGACCATGCCGGGTCGGGTCAAGTACATACCAAATAAAGTTATGGACTTAGACACTATATCCAACAGTCTCCCACTTGGATAAGTCTAATAACTATATTTCCAAATATGACTTCAAAATCCGACTAGCAATCGTAGCTCTTTCAAAGTCTCTCGGAACTGAGATGATGATGATACGCCATTTAAGATAAGTGATCATATAATCCTCTGTTCTCATGATATCAGCCGGACAAACACATGGAACATGGTCTTACTTATTGTCCAACATTTGTTTCTCGATCTCTGATTTGTTTCGACATAGAACTAAATTGAACACATCAATTAGGTTCTGACCGGGCCCGGTACATAGGTCAAAACCAAATCATCGAGGGGCCCATATATCGCTTCTATTTCTAGAAGGAGCAGATAAACTTCGACTGATATGCTTGTACTAACTACTTGTTGAATTATTCACAAAGGCACGTTTTATAACATCGAGTTACCAATGCGTTCTCGTACAATCAATGAATAACCAATTCATAGTCAACAACTCATATCTCTAGGTTTGAAGATTAATATGATATTACCGTCTCACGATCACTCGAGATAAATTCCATGAAGTGATGCAAGTGAGCGTGGGTTGGATCCAATACTCAGCCCTTATGAGTACTCATGAATGTTGTAGCAACCATTGCATTCTCCAAAGCACTTTTAGACAAATCATACAAGCCAAATTCATGACAGTCTTAAATCAATACTTACTTCCAAAGTTTGACTGACTGTGGATGGTTTGAATAATAACATAATTATTTTGGAAGTAAAAACATGCAAAATTGAAACATAGTAAACAATCAACACAAGATAGTAAGACCTTACTCATAAATAAATAACAACTTTTGTTTATCATCAAATGTCAATTACATTTTACAAGTTTCAGGAATCTAATTATTGAAACTAATATCATCCTTCAGCCCAATGCGCCTCGCATGCTGTAAATGCTTAGCCCTGCTCAGTCCCTTCGTGAGGGGATCTGCCGGGTTCTCATCTGATGATACCCTCTTAGCCACGAGGAGTCCTTCTTCTATTCGATGTCTGATGAAATGGTATTTTCTGTCAATGTGCCTAGATCTCCCGTGATCTCTTGGTTCCTTAGCCAAAGCAACCGCACTTTCGCTGTCACAGAAAATTTCCATTGGCTCCTTTATAGCTGGTACAACTCCAAGATCTCCGATGAAGTTCTTTAGCCATATCGCCTCCTTAGCTGCTTCACTTGCTGCTATGTACTCTGATTCACAAGTAGAATCAGCTACTGTCTCCTGCTTGGAACTTTTCCAAGTAATTGCCCCTCCATTTAGGATAAAGACCCAGCCTGACTGAGAGCGGAAATTATCCCTATCAGTCTGGAAGCTAGCATCGCTATATCCTTCCACTCTCAAGTCATCACTGCCTCCGAGGGTAAGGACCCAATCCTTAGTCCTCCGCAGATACTTGAGAATGTTCTTTACCGCTGTCCAGTGTGCCTTGCCAGGGTTCCCTTGATATCTACTGACCATGCTCAAAGCAAAGGCCACATCAGGGCGAGTACAAGTCATAGCATACATGATCGAGCCCACAGCGGAAGCATATGGTATATGACTCATTTCAGCTATCTCAGCCTCTGTACTCGGACTCTGAGTCTTACTCAGCTTGGCATTACTCTGGATTGGTAATTCTCCTTTCTTGGATTCTTGCATGCTGAACCTCTTCAGCACCTTATCCAAGTAAGTAATTTGACTAAGTCCAATTAGTCTCTTACTCCTATCTCTCAATATCCTTATCCCTAGGATATAGGCAGCTTCTCCAAGGTCCTTCATAGCGAAACACTTCCCAAGCCAGGTATTAACCTCCTGCAAGGTTGGGATGTCGTTTCCTATGAGAAGTATGTCATCCACATACAACACCAAGAAGCTAACTATGCTCCCACTAGCCCTGACATACACACAAGACTCATCCTCACTCCTAGAAAAGCCAAACTCTTTGACTTTCTCATCAAAGCAAAGATTCCATCTGCGAGATGCTTGTTTCAATCCATAAATGGATTTATCAAGCTTACACACTCTATTAGGGTATCTTGTATCGACAAAACCCTCTGGTTGAGCCATGTAAACATCCTCAGCCAACTTTCCTATTAAGGAAAGCGGTTTTGACATCCATTTGCCATATTTCATAATCATGAAATGCAGCTATGGCTAACAATACTCTAATAGACTTAATCTTAGCTACTGGTGAGAAGGTCTCATCATAGTCAACTCCCGGAGTTTGAGTAAAGCCCTTCGCAACCAGTCGCGCTTTGTAAGTATGTACCTTCCCATCCATGTCGGTCTTCTTCTTGAAGATCCATTTGCACCCAACTGTCTTACGACCTGGTACATTGTCAACCAAGTTCCAAACTTGATTGTCATACATGGACTGAATCTCGCTGTCCATAGCCTCCTTCCATTTAGCAGACTCAGGGCCTGCCATGGCTTCCTTGTAATTATTAGGTTCATCCAAATCTATTAGTGTACTATCACTAATAAATGTATCACCTTCAGTGGTGATGTGATAACCATAATAAAAATCAGGTGTGTTCCTCACCCTAGTGGAACGTCTTGGAGGTACAGACTCATCTATCGGATCAACAGGAGTTTCCTCCTCAGGTTGGTCGATAGCATTTGAGGTTCCTTCACCACTTGACTCTTGAAGCTCTTCAAGGTCAATTTGCCTCCCACTGTCCCCTTGGCTTATGAATTCTCTCTCACGAAAGACTCCTCTTCTTGCTACAAAGACCACCTTATCACTGGGTCTGTAGAAGAGGTAACCAAAGGATCTCTGTGGGTAGCCGATGAAAATACACCTCTCACTTCGAGGTTCAAGCTTATCATGAGTCTCACGCCTCACGAAAGCTTCACAACCCCAAATCTTGATGTGGTCCAAATTGGGAACTTTCCCAGTCCATATCTCGTGAGGTGTTTTGGCAACCTTTTTAGTAGGGACTAGATTAAGGATATGGGCGGCAGTCTCTAAGGCATACCCCCAGAAAGAGATTGGTAACGAAGCTCGACTCATCATGGAACGAACCATATCCAACAAGGTTCGATTGTGCCTCTCAGCTACACCATTCAACTGTGGTGTTCTGGGAGGTGTCAATTGTGAGACAATCCCACATTCCTTAAGATAGTCAAGGAACTCAATGCTAAGATACTCTCCTCCTCGATCGGATCGGAGCATCTTGATGTTGCTGCCCAATTGATTCTCCACTTCCTGCTTAAACTCTTTGAACTTTTCAAAGGTTTCTGACTTATGCTTGATTAAGTAAATATATCCATATCTACTGTAATCATCAGTGAAAGTCACATAATAGCGATTAGCATCCCTTGTAGCAACTCTGAAGGGCCCACGCACATCCGTGTGTACAAGGTCCAACAAACCTTCACCCCTATCACAAGTACCTGTGAAGGGTGACTTTGTCATTTTTCCAAGTAAACAAGACTCGCAACTATCATTTGACTTGAGGTCAAATGATTCCAAGACTCCAGCCTTTTGGAGTTGGCCTATGCGCTTCTTGTTAACATGTCCAAGACGACAATGCCACAAGGATGCTTTATCCAAGCTATCTGAAGAATCAATATACAACACATTATTTCCTAGATTGTCTACAACATTCACGGCTTCATATACACCATCACAAGGTAATGCTTTAAAGTAAAATACATCATTGTAATAAACATTAATAGCACCATTTTTATTATCAAATGAAAATGTAAAACCTTGTTTGTACAAGCCATGAAAGGAAATAATATTTCTCGCCATTTCGGGCGAGTAACAACACTTATTAAAATCTAACATTAACCCATTATTAAGCAATAAAGAATAAACTCCTATCTTGGTAACAGGTGATGCTTTCCTGTTGCCCATGACTAAGTTTATCTTCCCGTGCTCCACTTGCTCACTTCTTCTTAGTGCCTGCAAATCAGTACAGATGTGAATACCACAACCTGTATCAAGCACCCAAGAATTAGCATTAGATGAGTTATTAGACAATATTGTGTAAATACCTGCATGGGTGGGTTTAACCTTCCCATCCTTTAGATCTTGCAGATATTTGGGGCAGCTTCGCTTGAAGTGTCCCTTATCCTGGCAATAGAAGCACTGTGCTTCCTTTGGGTTTGAAGAAGGAGTAATGGGACCTTTCTTTGTCCCACTTGAAGAGGAACCATCAAGAGTCTTACCCTTGGTACCCTTCGAAGGGCTTTTCCTCTTCTTACCCTTTCCCTACCCAATAGCC